AAAAGGTTATTTACAGTGAGCACTTTAATCTTCAACTGGTATGCCATATTCACAATTTTGTTTAGATATGCCAGTTAAGTCTATGTTAGTGATTATATCTTTGGATTGAAAATACGGGTGTAGATGAATGATTTGATTGGTTGTCTTTATTTGCATTACTCAGTTTTGTTGCACAAATGTTTTTATCGAGTATACCTGAGTAGTAAATACTGTGCGCGATATGAATAGAATATGATCCAAATTAATACTTGCCTATCTTTTTATTTATGTCAACTGAGCAACCTAGCGTCTAGATTACTGTGCTGGTAATATGAACATAAGCACAGAGGAAATAGCCTTAAATGGATGTAGGGATTTGCAAAGGTTGTTTTGTTTTGTTTTAGATTTATTTACTTACTTTAGAGAGCGTGCACGGTTGGCGGGGGCAGAGGGAGAGGGAAAGAGAAACTGAAGCAGATTCCACGCTGAGTGCGGAGCCCCTCGCAGGGCTCAGTCTCACGACCCTGAGATCTGGACCTGAAGCCAGAACCCAGAGTCAGGCACTTAACCGACTGTGCCACTTGGGCACCCCTCACGAGGGTTTTTAACAAGGAGTGACACTGAAGCAAACTGGACCTTGAAAGATGATTAGGAATTCACGAAAGTTAGAGAAAATATATTTCGTAAAATATTTTTATTAAACTTTTAATGCCCCTTTCTGACCTGCAGGTGACGAAGGGAGTATGCCAGCAGATATAGCCACGTTACTAAAAACGTCAATGGGCCTGTGAAATTAAGAATTGTGAATTCCTAATTGATGAGGAAATATCAACTTGGTGCACTCAAGGACATTTACATTATGATGACCATGGGGTTTATGAACATTTATAACTTTTTATAATTTCCATATTACATTTCTCATAGTATGGACAACTTTTTTGCCACTAACTGAATTCTCCAGATGCTCACATGTGAAATTTAAAAAAAAAAAAAAAAAAAAAGCCACAAATAATGTAGTCCTGAAGATGTTGAATAATCATTTTACAAAACAGTTTTCTGAATGGGGATTAGTTGGTGATTGTTTGTAACAAATATGCTAATGCTTTAGAAATGTCAGTATTTTTGTAATTATTTCTACCTCCAAATATATATATATTGTCTTTCACTGGATAATGTGTGTAGATTTTTACATGTGCCTTATTTGACAATGCTTACGTCTTGTTTTTCCTTGTCTCATTTGAAGTTCTTTTTTTGTTAGTTTAAAGGACGCAGCTGTATAGATTATATAGCTTTCATTTTATTGCTATTTGAAGCAGATGTTCACCACTGTCAACAAGAACTCAACCTGAATTTAAAGGTGGCATTCCATTTACTAACACCCCCAGGTCCTTCCAAGTACTTCTGTTAAAACAAATTTGTTTGGCTAGGCACTAAGTTGTTTTCCAGTGAATAGTAACGAAGAAGCCCTTCTCTTGCTCCATGGATTAATTCCTTCTGTTCATTTCCCCACTGCACTAATTGTGCTTATTACTCTGCCTATTCTTGTGCATGTTTTCATTGATTTCCCTCTCCTGGCTTTTGCTTCTCTTGAAACTGTTGCCCAGTCACTTCTGCTCCAGTTCTCTTTACTCTCTAAATAGTAGTTTATTCCTGCCACGTCTCCACGTATCAGCAAAATGTGGGTAACATTTGTCTAACCTGGCAGAACAGATTAACAGGCTATTTCACTTCAAAGCAGACTGAATGTGACTTCATATTAAGGCAGCGTTAGGTACTGCATGGAAATAGGTCATTAACTTTAAACACTTCTCAAAATATAATTTATCAGTTTCCAGAATTTCCAGTACAGGACCTCCTGAAGAGAGAGCCATTGTTCAATTCCAATTCAGTGTGGGTGACAAAGTGAAATTTAGAAGAAGTAAAGTTGTCTATTTGATATTTAACTCTTTATTAAATCTTTCTTTAAATTTTTGCCTGTCAGTCTATCTTGCTGTTTTTATTATACATCAGTTTCTTTGTATAACTTGTGAGTTTCATGTGTTTTGTTTTTATTATGTAAATATCATTATAAATAAACTTATTTATAAATCACAGACTTGTTAATTTTAGAGATTGTGCTTTCAAGGCATCCTGACTTGCTAAGATGCTTAGGTCATATAATCCTCTGGAGTTAGAAGAGTAATGAAGCTCTCAAAGCAATCTTCAGATATTACAGACTCTGAAAACTCATGATTCAGTAGATTTACCCAATCTTGAAGGTATATTGAATATAATCGATATATTTTAGTATAATGGGACTAGAAGGAATCTACAAATACTATTACTACCTCTTCCTACATCGCAGGACCCAAATCACTTAGATTGTTGGAAATACTACCTTTCAAAATCTCATAATGGATTTCTTAATAACTTTTCTGTGGTAATGTGTCTTCAGTGATAGGCTGTTTCTTTTGTTGTTATTAAGTCCATATTTAATGAGATGTAGTTGAGTTCTCCCTGTCATGCTCTATTATGTCTTAGGCTTAATGAAAATATTTGTGATCATAAGTTGTATTTCCACACCCTTTTTAATAGTTTCTAACTCTCCTTTTACCTTTAAAATGAGATCATTTGTGCTTAAATATTATCTATTTCTCAGTAAACTGGAATTTATTACTTAGGATATATTCCCCCCGTTAGTCCTTTCATTGGACTGATGTTCATAGGAACATCGTAATCTATTACCAGTAGTAAAGAGCATGTGAAGCCATAGTTGGAATATCATCTTGACCAATTGAAGCAACTTTTATTTTTTAATGCAACTTACAAGGTAGAAGACATATGCCGTATGTGTTTCATAACTGTATTCCTGACCCCATAGACTTTGTAACTTTATACCAACAGATACTTATATTGCAACATTAACTACTGTTGTTTCTAACTTTGGTGTTACTGTATAGAGGTTGGACAGGAGTATTAGGAGATTTGGGTGACCCTAAGCAAGACACTTAAAATGTCCATAAAATTAAGGAACTGATTCTTTTAACTCTTTTCTTCCCAGAATGTGTGTTTTCTGGTTACAATCTGCAATTCTGATTCATTCATATTCTCTCATACTTGCTCACTCAGCAAGGAGCCATTTATTTTGGGTACAGGGTGGGATAACGGAATGTGTTGTCCCTTCAGTGAGAAAAGACCTAAAGATTGATGATGATGCTATGATTGAAATGAAATAATTTCTTTATGAAACCTGCTGTGGTTGCATTTTATATTTGAATTACGATTTGTGTAAACAAGTGGGACTGATGTTACTGTGAATTTTCATAATGTTAGATAAGCATTGTTCTCACTTTTACTAAATTCTATTTTCATTAAAGCTTGTCAGAATTTAATTTTATGGCAGAAAATGAACATGCATAAGAGGGAAAAAAAGTTACTACTTTCATTGTCTAGAGTATTATTTGAATTTCTGTTGTGAAAGGTAATTTTTTCTTAAATTGCCTTAATAACATGATACAATACTTTGCAATGAGATTCACTTATATAACCTGTTATCATTTATTAACAGCGACTAGCGATAAGAAATTGTGATCCAAAGAAGCAAGTCATTTGGGAAATACACTTTGTTTTTATGTATAATCCTTAATGATGTATCAAGTATTTAACATCTTTTCTCCTATTTTGTAGAACACTGTTGGGATGAAAGAAGCACCTTAAACAAAATCATACTTAGCCCAGCTTTCCTTTTCTTTTTCTTTCTTCCCTTACATCCTCTCCCCATTTCTGGCTTCTCAACCATATTCTCTTTCCTCTGTCCTGCATTTCAAGTATATGCCATCTATTTCATTAGTCTCTTTCTATATATAACATGACATGCTAAGATTAGACAATCCAATATTAATATTAACATGCAAATTGAACTAAAATATATTCCAGTGCTATAGTTATGGTTTAAAATGTGTTGAGGGATAACCTATAGTTACTTGGAAGATTTCTATTTAAATCGTTTGTTTATATGGGCAGTTCTTGCTTTCCACAGTAGTGTGGGACCATAAAAATGACTGCAGGTTGAAATTGTGCAAAATAATCCTAGTCAATGAAGAAAATGTTCTATGACTTCTAAATTTTTTTCTCAACACATTAAAAATGTTGGTTATAAATGTGTAGGTAAGTAAAGTAGTAAAACTAATTTTAGTAGTAAAAGAAACTGAAAAAGTGTATTACTTTGGTAAAAAATGTATTAAGAATAGTTTTAATAATACCTTCATATATAATTGCAAGTGAGCCATTCTTTTTATACCTTGGCAAATTATCATAATTTTAAGTTTGGATCACCTTCCCACATTTTATTGCATTTCCAGTGTCATGAAATATCCCTGCTTTTTTCTTTTTTAATAGACTATTTTTAAGAGACTTCTTGTTTTAGGTTCATAGCGAAATTGAGCAGAAAGTAAAGAATTCCCATATACCCCTGCCACCACACAAGTACACCCTCCCCCACTATCAACACCTCCATTCCAGAGTGGTACATTTGTTACAATCAGTGAATCTACATTGACACATCATAATCACCCAGTCTATAGTTTGCATTAGGGTTTGCTCTTTGTCTTGTACATTCTGTGGGTTTAACAAATCCATTATAGTATACAGAATAGTTTTACTGCCTAAAAATTCTCTATACTCAACCTGTTCAACCCTCCCTCCCCCTTCGCCTCTCACAACCACTGGTCTTCTTACTGTCTCCATAGTTTTGCCTTTTCCAGAATGTTCTATAGCTGAAATCATACAATTTATAGCCTTTTCAGATTGGCTTCTTTCACTTAGTAATCTGCACTAGAGTTTCCTCCATGTCTTTTCATGGCTTGATAGCTCATTTTTAGTGCTAATATTCCCTTGTTTGGATGTACTACAGTTTGCTTAACCACTCACTGTAGAAGGGCATCTTGGTTGCTTCCAAGTTTTGGCAATTACCAGTAAAGTTGCCACAAACATCCATGTGCAGGTTTTTGTGTGGATCTAAGTTCTCAACTCCTTTGGGTAAGTACCAAAGAGCATAATGGCTGGATCATATGGTAAGAGTGGGTTTAGTTTTGTAAGAAACTGCGACACTCTCTCCCAAGTCTTTATCATCTCCCATTCCTATCAGCAGTAAGTAAAAGTTAATTTTGTTTCACATCCTTACCAGCATTTGGTGGTGTCAGTCTTTTGAAATTTTGCTATTCTAACAGGTACATAATGGTAACTCGTTTTTATTTGCACTTCACTGGTGACATATGATGTTGAGCATCTTTTCATATGCTCATTTGCCATGTGTATATCTTCGATGAGGTGTCTGTCCAGATCTTTGGTCCATTTTGTAATTGGGTTCATTTGTTGGATTTTAAGGGTTCTTTGTCTATTTTGGGTATAGTCCAATATACCCAAATTATCATAATTTTAAGTTTGGATCACCTTTCAACATTTTATTGCATTTCCAGTGTCATGAAATATCCCTGCTTTTTTCTTTTTTAATAGACTTATTTTTAAGAGGAGTTTTAGGTTCATAGCAAAATTGAGCAGAAAGTAAAGAATTCCATATTGTGTATCCATGATTTACATACCATGTAAAGATAACGTCTTTTGCAAATATTTTCTCCCAGTCTGTGGCTTGTCTTCTCATTCTTTTGATCTCTGTTCTTTTAACGTGAAGCTCTTTGGCAGTCTCCCTTCCTCTGGAACATCATCTTTGTCACGGCCATTTTCCTCATTTCTGTCAGTAGGTCTGCCAAGTTCTTCCAGCTACATCTCTGGAGCCCCTTGAACTGCAGCCGTGTAAATGTTCTCATAGTCCGCTCTTTCCATTTATGTGTAATTTGAATTTGGCTCCAGCATGGTCACTTTTCATTTCTTTATTGTACTTTCATCTGTGTTGCTGAGTTCCCTTTTTCAATGACCACTTTTTAAAAATTTCTGAGTGGGTTTATCACTGAGAAACAAGCCGGCAAGGCAGCTACCCACCCTGCTACCTGTGCATGAGTAATAGCTGTGCAGTGGCCACTCATTAACAGCCTTGGAAAGAAGTGATGGGATTGGGCACTGGTCATGCTGTGCATCTCTTATTTACATAGTGATTTGTGGACCACAGAGCTAGCAGCAAAGTTAACACTTTATGCAATTACAGCTTAAGTCCAAACCATTTTGGGGGGAAACGTGTATGTTCCTTAACCATTGTGACTGAAATCCATGCATGTCGAAACCCATGAAATGTGAGCCCTGCCTGTATCATAAACTTTTTTCTCAGTTGTAAATGATGTGAAATTATTCTAAGGGAAAGGGAAAAAAAACAAAAGGGATGCTCGAAACTAAGTGATCTCGTTCTCCCCTCTTTTTTCTTTTTTTTTTTTTTAAACAGAATATGGCAAAAGTGAAAGAGTTGGTGGAGCTGCGGAGGGGAGTGTGTAGATTCCATGGCAGGCTGACGTAGCTTCTTATCTGATGGAAGTGATGCTGTGAATAACAAAGCTTAGAGGCAGCACACATTACCTAGAGTTTGGTTTGGGGCCTTCGTTGTATCCAGTCAGCGATAGCGGGAATGGCTTGAACTTTCTTCCGTAATGTTACCAGCCTGGGATGGATGTCCAACAAGTCAGGTTTAAAGACCAAAAGTGTGGTACTGCAAATTTCCCAGTAGAAATCTGCCCAAGTTACCTAGTTTAAAGCAAACAAAAATTGCCATTTGAACATAGAAGGCATAACTTACTAAATCAAGAATAGTTTTTTAATTCAAAATTATCTGTTACTACGAAAGTGGAATGAGTATATGATAGAAAATTACAGATAACACCATACTCCCAACACCCAGAGGTTGCTACCATTAACACCTCTTTGTATAATGGCATCACGTGTGTGTGTGTGTTCTAAATGAGATTTTAGAATACATACTCTTATAACTTGATTAAATCTCCACCTCTCTGCGACAATACATTGTCTAATACCCAATCAATACTTTTTCATCTGTTCCAAAAATGTCCTTTATAGGACAAATCAGAATCCATTCCAAGACATGCATTTCGTCTGGTTATGCCCTTTAACTCCCTTTTACTGGAGATTTCACACTAGTCCTGAAGAACATCATGTCTTCGGGATTTGTGTGGTTATTTCATCTTACTTACCTTGTTCCTTTCTTTTGCAGAGTATAAAGGGATAGGGTGCAGGTTATCCCTAGAGAGTTCGTAGTTGCAAGTGAAATATTTTTGGCTAACACATTAGATTGCATCACCTCCGAAGACATAAGGTGTCTGAGCATTAGTGGATCCCCAGGTGTGATGACAGCCTGGTCCTACCCTTGTATACTTTTTCTTCGTACACTTTTTTTTTTCCCTTTGTGACTAGAAACTAATCTGGCTGAACATTACTTTGACTCCAGATGATGAATACCCATCAAAGAGTGAAGTTTAAATGTGGGCTATCCGTAGTTTTATTTTTGTATGGAATCTAATACTAATTGCTAGTGTTTCATGAACCTGCATACTAAACACCTGTCAACCAGGAGAGTTTTGGGTTAGAGGATTCAAGAGTTCAGTCAACACATATTTATGGCGTACTTACTGTGTGCGACGTGCAGGTCTATGTGCTAGGCTGGGCTGGACTGGAGAGCAAGATGTTATACAGGCCCTTTCCCAGGTGCACCTTTTGTTTTAGAAGCAGGAAGACAAACATTTGTCAACCAGTAGGGATGATGAAGAAAAAGTGAAGTTATGGGAAGGATCCTCAGGTGGTCATGGAGGGAAGACCCTTACATGTGTGACATTTAAGCCCAGGCTTAAATGAGAACAGGATCCAGACAGGCAGCGGTCTGCAGATGAAGCCTTGTAGGCAGAGGGAACAGCAAGTATAAAGGCTCTTAGGTGGGAGTGAGTTGTGTGTTGGAGGAGCACACAAAACGCCAGTGTGTGTGGAACACTGAGGAAGAGTGCTGAGAGATGGGGTCAGGAGGTAGTTTACAGAAGAATCTTAATAGAAAACGAGGGTGGAGGGCGCCTGGGTGGCTCAGTTGGTTGGGCGACTGCCTTCGGCTCAGGTCATGATCCTGGAGTCCCTGGATCGAGTCCCGCGTCAGGCTCCCTGCTCGGCAGGGAGTCTGCTTCTCCCTCTGACCCTCCCCCCTCTCATGTGCTCTCTCTCATTCTCTCTCTCTGTCAAATAAATAAATAAAATCTTTAAAAAAATAAAAAAATAAAAAAAAATAAACTAATCAAATCTTTAAAAAAAAAAAAGAAAACGAGGGTGGGGGTGGATTTTAAGTCCTTCAGTAGGGCAGGGAGAGGACCATTTTAGGAAAGTCTCTTGGAGAACGTGGGAGGAAATGAAGAGGCATGTGATAGGTTGGAAGTTGAGAATAAAGATGTGGAAAGTATGCGTCCGTGTCACCCAGAAGGACTCAACAGACCATAAACAGAGTAAGTCCCAAGAGTGCTGCCCAAAGCAGTCTGTGTCTTCTAGAATGCAGCCTCCTTGAAGGCACAGACTCCGACCTACCACAGCATGAGTCGTGTTTAGACTTGAGTTTTTGTCAGTAACGTGCTCCTCTCTCTCAGTAGTAGGGCTGTAATAGCTGATGGTCTCGCTTTTTGTGATCTTACTAATTATTAGTCAATGCCTTGGTCTGTTCCAACCATCAGGGGTTGGAAAATGGTGATAGTTGATTTTAATCTCCCCTTTTACTTACTAACTGGAATACTTACATGAAGACAAACTTTGCCCTTCGGTTTGTGTTATCTCGAGGTACAATTGGCACAATCAGAAAGGCAAGATAAATTCTTCATTCAAACCTCCCAACTTTTTAAAAAAGAGTTTTCAGAGTAATAATTTGTTTCCATATCATCTTCCAAAAGTAACCAATGAAGTTCTCTTTGGTTTGGGGGTTTGCATGTATGTGTTTGTGTTTGGTTGTGGTGGTAGGAGTGGTCATCATAAATTCATGGATTCATTCATTTTGATTTGTTTCAATCCACTGCTGTTAATATTCTTAGCGAAGCTTGAATTGTCCCATATTTAGCCAGTGTAAGCGTTTGCTTCAAGTTGACTTTTGAGTCCCCAGTTCAGTTGTCTTTGATAATTTATTTGCTTCTGCTATGACAAGGTATTTCCAGCTCATCTCTTACATTTCCTGTCCCAAACTGAGAACGAGCCATTTCTCTAAGAAGCCCTGGTTCCTTTTAATATTTAGAGACCAGAATCTGGGTCCTGAAGGTGCCCAAGACAACAGGGTTGGTCATTGTTTCAAGAAAAAGAAATACAACATGGTTTTTCCTTTATTTAGCCTAAGATACAGTCAGTGCATCATGACCTTATATATATATAAATTTATATATTCACGTATAATATTTTTATATATATTCATATATATATTTCACATTCAGGAATAGGGTGTTTACTTAGCTTCGCTGACCTTACTTACATCTCTGTCTTCTTTCTCCCACACTGAAAATCCTGGTTCTCAGTGATATCCACATATTTTCTTACTGCTTTACCCCAAAATATAGTTATATCAGAAATCCTAATAAAACAATATGACTGTACCCAGTACCACTAAGAATATAATTACAGGAACGCCCGTTTTATTGTGCTTTGCTTTATTGCATGTCGCAGATAGCGCGTTTTTGACAAATGCTTGTGGCAACCCTGTGTTGAGCAAATCGATTGGCACTATTTTTCCAACAGCATTTGCTCACTTTGTGTCTCTGTGTCACATTTTTGTAATTCTTGCAATATTTCAAACTTTTTCATTATTAGGGTAATCTGTGATCAGTGATTACAACTCTGAAAGCTCAGATGATGGTTAACATTTTTTAGCAATAAAGTATTTTTTAATTAAGATATGTACATTGTTTTTTTAGACATAATGCCATTGCACACTTAACAGATTACAGTATAGTGTAAACATAACTTTTATATATACTGAGAAACCAAAAAATCCATTTGATATGTGATACAATATATATTGCTGTGGTTTGAAACCAAACCCATAATAGCTCTCTGATGTATGCCTCTACTAAAAATGGTATAAGATTTCTATTTTTTGATTCTGAGAGAATATTTATAATAAAATGTGTATTCAGGTTACTGTGTTTTACAAATGATGATATTTCTTAAAATGGTTCTCCTCAAATAGGTACTTCTCTACACACTTCATGCATCAATTTAACATAGGTTTATTTGCTTCACTTTGCTTTTGCTTTGCAGTGTTAGCTTTTTAAAATATTTTCATTGTTTTTATGATTATATAAAATATTTTAGTTCATAGTTCCAAAGTTAAGTCCACCAAAACAGGTTTATTCAAAGTAGTTTAGCTTTTATCCCTGCTATCTGTTCCTTCCTTATGGGTAACTTTTTTTTCTCACTGAGTCTTTGTAAGTTTTTGGTTATATGTATGTGTATATGTGTATACTTGTATTTTTTAAAGATGTAAAAACATACTCACAGAGTTACCAGTAAGCCACTCCTTTTCACCTAAGTATGTGTCCAAATCTTGCAGCAGATGAGGTCCATCATATGTAAGTAGCTCATTAAACATCTGATTCTAGGAGAGGATGAAGAAGATCACTTTAAGGATAATAGGAAGAAAAATAACATGATTTGAAGAGGAAGTAGATTTTTCCATCTTTATTCTCCCACATGAGTTCAGAAAGAAAGAGAAGTAGCTATGTGTTCTTGTTTGTTTGTTTCAAATATATGACATTATCGAGATTGAGGTCTGATTCCTTATACTTAGTCATCCCTTTGTTACTCATGGATTACTTTTGTGTCCACTTCTTACAGTTTCTTTGTATGTAATGACCAAATATTTCACCTAGAAAATCTTTTCATGATTTTTATCTTAATTTTTATTAAGATAATTTATAAAATTGTCCTCATTCTCTTTGGAGTGAAATAACATAATTGAGGGTAAAGAAATTAGTTTTATTTTGTATGGCTAGGCTCCTTCAGCTTGGCAGTCTTTTATTTCATCATCACACTTAATGGAAGTAATCTATAATGAATCCTTATGCTCTTAGGCTTTATGGATCTTGTTGGCTTGACATTGTGCCTTAGTATGAGGTTTGTCTGCCTTGACTATTATCTACAAAACCATCAACTAGTGCCCCCTTTTGATATATTATGTAAGGTAACATTCTAAATCAAATATCCTTAGAAGAGAAAAATTAAGATATACCCATTTTTAAAAATTGTCTTTTTCCTTGAAACTCTGAAAGACCAAATAATTTATTCATGGCCTCTTTCTTTGTAAGAAATGTTTGCTTATATATGAAAATTCTGGCCGGTGTGTATCTTGGATATAAAATGTAAGCCAAACTCAAAAATACCATAAAATATGTGTATATATATTATTTATTAATAATGATAAATTACCTATAATAAAATCCAGCCTTACTAAGGCAAGTCGGGTAGTGGATAGCTCCCTCACCAACTTGCTGATTTACTTTCTGTTATTACTATAACTTAGCAAGGTAATAGAGATTACTGCCACATAATGCCTTGTTTGTAGGGTACAGTTTACAAAAGCATCATTACATATTTACATACATTTGCCCGATTTTACAAACTGAAACTTGGGAAGCTTGTCATTATTTTGACTTTATATCCTTTCCACTGTTCTATACCACCTACATTCATAAGGTTCTTTCTCTATGGTTAATATGTCATAGTTTAAAATAAAACAGCGTGAGTTCTTCTTACACATAATTTGTGAGCTGAAAGACAGTGGGCCCAGATCCATGTGGCACTTCCCACAGCCCAGCCCAGCTCAGCTCAGCATCAGGTGGGAAGGTGATGGCCAATTTGGCTCTCCTAAGAAAGCTAGAAAGGGAACGGAGTTGAATGGAATAGGATGTAGCTGCTGGACAGCTTTCCAAAACTTTTGTGTGCTCACCTGTATCATTTTGTTACTTCTTCGAATGTGGATTTCCACCACTTAAGGTACATGCACACAGATGCCTGTGTGCACACAGTGCCAAATAAAAATCTTTTCTCTGTATTGACTTCTCCCGTAGCCCAGGTTCTCTATAAGTTTGGTGAATCATCCCAGTGACTCATCTCATCCAACGATATGTAAATTACTAACCCCAACATTATTATTGGTATTTAAGAGTCAGTGTAAGGAATACTCACCAAAATAACATAAAGAAGATGAAATTTGATTATACATCCTTTTTTCCAGATGTGTACTTTTTAAAATGCATTTCTTGATAAATCTTAGATAGCCGCCCTTACACTTGGTAGACTCAGAAATTTCCTTCCTCTTCCTCTGGAGACTTATAAGTCAGGAGGTTTCTCAACCTGAGAAGTCATTGCTACAGTATTCTATCAAAGGACTTTTAGAGGAATGATGTTTCTCCAAAGCACCATTTTTAAATCCATACTACCAAAATCGTTTAGTATTGGAAATGCGCCACTGGCATTTCTTTGATCCTGTTCATCCTTCGTCCTCCCCTCCACATCCTTTAGATGAGGAAACTGAAACAGACAGGTTGAATAACCAGAGAAACACTAGTGGTAAATTCAAGGATTATCAGGGTGACCAATGTCCACAAACGTATTTTGCCTTCTAAATTAATTTTAATTTTTTAAAAACTGGAAGTGGAATTTTTAGCAACAGATACTGAAATATTTATAATTATGTGTATTTGATAGATTCTTAGGGCACATATAATAAGAGGACTATGTTTACTATCCATCCATCTTCACTGTTACCAATATTCTCTTTTGAAAAATTACCTGACCACAAGGTGGCGGCAACGCGACCCACTTCAGGGAGACTAGGTGAAGAAATGAACTAAAACCAGGCAGGTTTTTTGTCGTATACTAGCCAGGTCCTCCTTATTAATCAGATAGTATGTAGGCAACTGCAATATTTCTGCAATGCGTCCTCCCTTCATATGATTTATTTATAAATTTGGATTTTGTCCTGTGAATTTTTTTTTTTTTTTGAGATAGGAGGTATGTTAAGAGCATTGTTATTCTAATACAAAGGTAGAGCGTTACTCATATCATAAGCATTCAAAGAATAGCTTCCTCTGGGAGGTAGCTTCTATTATGGAGCCTCAGCCACAGAAGGGTAAAAAATAGCTAAGGGCAAGCCCATAAGTTGATAGACTGCCAGTCAGTGGGGTTTTGGCATGTGAAACGAAAAGCTTTAGATCCGTTTTTCTAAATTGGACATTATGTATCTACTTGTTTCTGCATTTATAAGGATGTGTAAAATAGAGATGCCATGTCCGACAAAAAAAAGCAATGAGCAGTGAACTATATAACACTATTAATTATATATATTAATAGTTATTAATATACTAGATAATACAATTATAATATCTAAAATTTGTTGAACACTTTCGACCTAGTCATAGGTACTCATGCTAACATTTAATCCTCCCAACATACTTCAAAGTAGATTCTATAGTATCCCTACTTTACAGACAAAGAATTTGAACTATTGATAGGTAGGTATGTGACAACTAGAAGGGCATCAGAATTCAAGCCTGGCAGTGTGACTCCAGAGCCTGAATATATTGCTATATCAAAGCTGAGCTTTTATTTTAGACTTTGCTCTGGTTAGTCATGTGTGTGTGTGTGTGTGTGTGTGTGTGACACACCTTACATTTATATCAAGGAATCAGTAAATGTGAATACTTTTATGTTCCAAATATCTCTATTGAAATCAGAAGTTCCTAATTAAGTGGTATTTAGCATAAATACGTTTAAGTAAATTGTTAAACTGTCATTCGCTCTGTGCGGTACCTTTCGGATATAGACCTTAAGCCCCACCGCATACGTACACACCGACCAGCTGCCGGCACTGAGGCCTTAACAACCAGTGGTTAAGAGGTCTGAGTCCGAGCGGCTGGGATTTGAATTCCTTGTGTACCACTTTCTAGCTAAATAACCTTATACAAGTTACTTCTACTACACGAACCTCAATTTCTCCATCCGGGAAAATGAAGGTTGTAACAGTTTCTCCCTAAGGGATGCTCTGGGTATTAGTCACTCATTTAAAAGGAAGTATGCATAGGTGATGAGGCCATGGCTCTGGGCAACTCCATAACCACTCTGATTCTCAGTTTCTTCATCTGCAAAGTGAGCGTGATGATAGAAAGCACGTATCCCATGAAAGGATTGGGAGGACTGGCTGAGGCCCCACGCATGCAGGGGCCAGAGCAGCATCTGCATATGCTGTTGGAGAAATCAGCTCTTGCTCTCTGTCGTTCGACAAGTATGTAGTCCCTACTGCGTGAAAGGCACACGGTCGGCGTGGGGACATGAGTTGTAGTACAGACATAATAACTATCCTCACCACACGTTCCACCGGAGGAGACGAGTCAATAAGAGTTTAAAATAGAGAGTCTGTGATGCGTGCCCCCCAGGAAACCACTAGGGGGCGGTAATGGAGCATAACCTACAAGGTCTATTTAGAATTCTGGAGAAAGATGATGGATTTGACACACATGTATGATTTTTTTCATCCCCAAGGCACAGTAAATACATATTTTTGAAAAGACAGCACCCACAAAGAGGTGGAAAACAGGAGAGGAGACAAGAGAAAACAAAATTCAAAGCTATAAAACTCATGGATGACTGGTATCTGCAAAGGGAAAGCTGAAAACCAATACTATCTACCCCATAAAACCCTCAAATGGTTCGGAAAAAGGCAGGCTACATCCAGGATTGTGAGTAAGGAGGTAAGGGAGAGGGTAATGTGAGGAGTGGCTGAAAGCTGTGAAAGAGGTAGTTTTAGCATAAGATTTCCTTTTTCATTTTACACTGCTTGACACATGCCACTTCCCCGTGTTTATCAGAAGGCTGGAGAGGGGAAATCGATGGTCTGTGTGTTGGGAGCTGACATTCCTAATGTCTTCAAAACAGGGGATTGAATGAATATATGCATACTGAACACTAAGTTCTGAGACTCGTAGCCCTCTCTTCGCTGATTGTTTCCCAGAACACTGGCAGTCACACCTTTCTTTCCGGGCAAAAATCGGAAGTCTTCTCTAGGGACTCTTTCTAGACCCTAAAGATAGTAATATTGGGAAACACTCCACAAATGGCCTAGTGATGCTCAAAATCAACACACCCTGTCCACATGCCGAGAGCTTTGGGTAAACTTTTTAATTTTCCTATTCTTTATCATGGATTCTAAAGGATGGTCTGACTCCTGGGGAAAGACAGACCAAAACAAAGAGGAAAAATATGATAATAAAGATTACAGAATGACAACGGTGCACCAGGTTTTTTAGGGTGACCAAACCAGACTGAAGCAGTGTGACACACAAGACAGACATATCCATGCTGTCCGTCATCAGTACACCTCTTGTCATCGAGCCTTCATTTTAATTTTGGGAATCCTGGAGGACAAAGAAGTAAGCAAAGACAGAGGATGGCATCCGGGAAATAGGACTCCAACTCAAGAGAAGGACATCCCTGGGATGGCAGTGGAGGCAAGTCCAGTGGGGACAGATGTGCAGATGCACAGAAAACCCAGACAGCTCTGCAAAAAAAGAGGGGGATCTCAGCCAAATCTCCCCAAGAATATAGTGGATAATCTGATATCATTGACCTTGTGGAAAATTGTATTGGCGGCCTACTGGATGGTGTGGGAAGGTTCAGCAATAAACGTAAAAATAATTAGGCAAACGAAGGACAGGCAATTACTAATTTTGAGGAGGTAAAGCAAGCAATGAAATAAAATCAAAGTATACTACAACTGACAGTTCTGTACGATATTTGCGTAGGCATACTAACATAACAAGTGACTATTGATTTGGCCAAAACATTTTGATATCATTATATTGGGAGTTCAGGAGAAGGGGAGCAGAGACAATGATTACATAAGAGATAAATTCTTATTACTATAATAAGAAATCCAGAGAAACTAAAATTAGTGAATCAAAGAAAGCCGGATTTACGTGTCCTAAAGAAATAGTTAAAAGTGTTAAAAAGTGGGTTATGTCTGAGGAGGTGTTAATGTGAAGAGACGGTAGAGCAGGGAATCACTGTATTTTGTTTTAAATATTTTAATATAATTTGATATTTTAAAACTATAGGTATGTCTTACTTTGATAAAAAGAAACTTTTTTTTTTTTAAGATTTTTTTATTTGAGAGAGAGAGCAAGCACGAGTGGGAGGAGGGGCAGAGGGAGAGGGAGAAGTAGACTCCCCCGTGAGCAGGGAGCCCAATGCGGGGCTCGATCCCTGAGCTGAAGGCTGACGCTTAACCAACTGAGCCACCCAGGCGCCCGATAAAAAGAAACTTTTTAAAGCACCCCACAAGTAGATACGATTAATAGTAGTAATAACAAACTGATCACATTACTTTTATATCTTGTTTTTTCTCTGCCCAAGGAAAACGTGACATGAAATCGTCCAATGTGTCCACAATCGCATCAACTTGACATTGTTCCAATTCTGTTTTTCCAGCCAAATCTATAAAATAGAGACCATTTAAGGCTCAGACATACGCTGGATTTAATTTACTATATTCAAATGTTAGCTTTTTAATAGACAATATATTCTTTTTTTTTTTTTTAAAGATTTTATTTATTTATTTGAGAGAGAGAGAGAGAGAGCACATGAGAGGGGGGAGGGTCAGAGGGAGAAGCAGACTCCCTGCTGAGCAGGGAGCCCGATGCGGGACTCGATCCTGGGACTCCAGGATCATGACCTGAGCCGAAGGCAGTCGCCCAACCAACTGAGCCACCCAGGCACCCCGACAATATATTCTTATGGTTCAAAAATTCAAAACAATATAAAACTGTATCCAATGAAGACTAACTTCTATCCGTGCCCCATCCATCTCATTGTGCTCCTTTACCTACCTACCATATTGGTAACCATTCTATTAGGGGTTTTTTTTGTATTCTTCCATTATTTCTTTATGAAAATAAAACTATATATCCCACTCAATATACACATCCCCATATATCCTACAGATCTTTCCTTTACAAGTTTGTTAAGGGCATCCCTGCTCTTTTTTCAGCTACATGGGATTCCTGTAAGTAGAAGTGCCACAATCCATTTAATTACCCTCAGCTGATTAGGTTTGTTTCTTTCATATCTTTTGTTTCATTCTTTACACTATACTGTTCAATAATAAAGTTATTTAATAAATAAATAGTGAATATATGTCATGTATTTTTTTCAGTTATCAAAACTCTTCAACACAATAAACATATTACCTGTGTTTTTGGCCAAGTATCTTGCTATTGCCAGGCTCTGGTGAAGGTTAAGTCCATCAACTTCCAAAATGGGGATTTTACCAAATGGAAGAGCTTAAAAAAATAAGCAAAAAATCAACTTCCATAACAAAATCAAGTAATACTACTTCCATTTTTACTGATAATTATGGAAACAAATCATGATTTTAAAGTTCTGGAATTCCTGGATATTTGTTCTAAAAGGGACAATAGGCCCCCTCTAGTGGAATCTTTATAAGTCTTTTAGAAGAAGAGTTGTTAGAAGACCTGCTGCAGAGTTCATGGCAGCACCAGGTCTAAAACCCAGGTTTATAGTGATACCACATATTAAACTGTGTATTACCTCATAGGCTTACATATACCTACTACTTACCTTTTAAATAAACCTGTCTTTTAAAGCTTCATTAATTTTTGTGGCCTCGATCAGTGATACCATTAATTATTCTTTAAAACCATAGTCTGGGGCACCTGGGTGGCTCAGTCGACTAAGCATCTGCTTTCGGCTCAGGTCGTGATCCCAGGGTCCTGGGATCGAGCCCCACATCGGGCTCCCTGCTCAGCGGGAAGCCTGCTTCTCCCTCTCCCTCTGCTCCTCCCCCCTGCTCGTGCGCTCTCTCTCTCAAATAAATAAATAATCTTAATAATAAAAAAATTTTAAAAAGAAATAAAAGAAATTTTTAAAAGATGAGGAAATGGAGAGTTTGATTTATATACTGAGTTATGGTAAGGAATTTAGCCACATTCTTATTTTGATGAGGGACTATGTGAAGTATATAGTAAGGCAGCAAGCAATTTGTACAAATACAGGGCAGCCTCAGAGCAGATGCATTAACATTTTATCTGTAGATCCTACTTTGTTTTCTTATCTAAACTTATTATATTTTTGTCAGAGGGTAATATATGTTTTTATACAAAAATTCTAACTTGAAGATAAATAAATTCTACCACATAATTATAACCATTTGAATATTTTAATTGCTTTCTCATTTATATTTAAAAACAGCATCCTAAAGTATGTATTTGTAAACCACTTTTTTTATTTGACAACATCTTTTTGAAATCTTTCCAAATCAGTGAAACATCACCTTTTTAATGGCTACGTTATATTTTATCATATGTATTGATCACAATTTTTCCAACCAGTGCCTTACTTTGGGAAATATAATTATTTTGGGAAGAGAGAAAAGAACAAAGTGCCGCTCACAATCCCTTGACCCTAGAGCAACTACTACAATCAACCGTCAAGTGTCTTTCGTACACATAAGTAAAAGATGAACTGTGCTTCACGTCAGGAATCAAACCGTCTTTGAGTACATACCTAATGAGTGTGCCGAGTACTAGTCTTCGTGATGCCTCATCTGCAGCGAAGTATGTGATTAGGAATTGACATGCCTAACATTTTGAGGGAGGCCCCCTTTATGCTAGGCAGTGTACTACATATTTAACGTACCCATTAGGTTTTCTAGTTCTCACAACAACCCTATGACGTAGGCATTAACTATTATCTCGTTTTACAAATGAGAAAGTGAGGAGAAGAGAGGTTATATAATTAGTCCAGGTCACATACCTGGTAGAGGTGAGATTCAGACTGAGTTCAGCTGGAACTTTTGCTCAGCTGTGTTGATAGTTCTAAGAGCCATGTTTTGAGAATACATTAAAAATCAGAGCAAACCCAGAGGATAGTATCCAAGTTAGAGAAGGGTCTGAAAACCACATTTTATAAGGCTTGGCTGGAGAACTTGGCACTCTTTACTGGGGGAGATAAAACAAACGAAGACAAAAGAAACCTAATAGCCATCTTCAAATATGGTACAGCTGTCAAACGGATGAAAAATTGGACATTTTCCAACTATCTCTAAAATGCAGAGCTACAATTAAAAGGTACTTTAAAAGGCACAGATATTAACTCAAGATGAAGAATACTTTTTTAGCATTGGCACCATGGATGACCTGTGGGATGGTAAGCTTTCAGCTACTAGCAGCATTTGAGCCAAGATTGGGATGATTGCCAACACTTGGAATATCGGGCTGCATCTAACAAGAAGAAATTTAAGAATACAAATGCCAAGTCCTTCATTTGGTTCCAGAAAAAAATTAATAATTTTGGGGTTATTGGAGATGTAATCCAACAGGGACTCAGTTCTGTATTCAGCCAGTGACCTTTATCTTCACTCAGAGTATTATCATTGAACTGTATACACAGCAGTGGCTTTTTCTCTATGCTGTCTTAAAGATACTAGACTGCTTCAAATAATTGGATGTGAAAGAAGGAATAATCCGCTTTCCACGATTTAAGATGATATGTCCAAGACCGATGTATGAAAGCCACTGAGGAGATAGATTTTAATTTTATATAAGGAAGAGTCTTTTAAAATTTTCCTTCTTTGGGGC